ACATCGCCCCTTCTACATGTGTCCAACGAGGAAAAGAGGCCATGCCTTGGAGTCCGAATTGTGTTGTCTGAGACGATGCGTCACTTCATGCTGCAATGCATTTCCGAGTTGATCGACATCTTCCGTGATAAACCTTTTCCGTACCGACCAGATCAAGATATATTGTATACCTGACGGATTTGACAACTTTGCAACATCATCGCTCAATCAGCTTTAAGTATGTGCATACCTATGATAGCCACAGGCCTGGGGTGGCTACTTTTCAGCTTATGGTTAGGCCTATGATAGTTACATACCTATGACAATCAGGGACTGACAATGAACTTCAACTGATCTTTATTGGTATAAATATTCACACATAATCACATTCCCGAATACACGATAACTCTATCAATTTTGACCTCTTTTCAATTCGACACACCCGTATTTTCATCCCTTCTCTCTCCCACACCCAAATATCTTCAACCACGTGACTTGAGCATCATGGTGCTCGTGACCATCTCACCCTCGCCAGAGCTTTCGGTCGCATGCAAGCTAACATGGTGCCCAAGCGTGCCGTAAGTGACATACATATGGTCAGGACAGAATTTGAGATTTTTTGACAGCATAGTCGCACCAAATTTCGAGATCAACATCGGCCATTCTCATAATAAAACAAGATAAATATAGAACTGATAATTCGCTTACAAGCTTAAGTAACTATATATTAATTTAATTGAAAATTCAGCGTGCATGCACACAAACGTTGTATTCATTTTTCTAAATAAAATTTTTGATTCGTGTATAACTTGAATTTTCGTGCTCGTTTAAAATCGTAAGATGTTACAAATAAACATAAATTAATGAACATCGATCATGTTGTTTTATCATGTGAAAGGGAGTATATTCTATTGAATCAAACATGTGCTCATGATTAGTTTCTGATCTTGCTATCTTTCTCAAAATTAGTTGTCCGTATGCAGGAAACCTAGACAACATTCGATACGCTAGAAGTTGACGATTGTCGACTAATATATGATGTCTAATCCAAGTTATGTAATGCATCTATTTTAATTAATTAAATATCAACATATGAATTTGAAAAAAAAAATGTAACCGATAATTTTTTTAACCAAATTAAGAGTAACGCCAAAGATTTTCATCTCAATTTCCATTGATCTTTCGTCCGTTATTTGGCAGAGCAGCCTACCATTTTTGACTCTTCCTCTGTAAGGTGGCCCCCACTTATTGACTTTAATGGTCACATTGTTGATCAAAATTGGATGAAAATCTTTGGCAGACAGACTCTAAATTTGTCCCACCAAATTTTTTATTAAATTTATCATTTAGTCATGCAAAATGACTGTGATGCCCTTTTATTAGACAATTTAGGCAAGGTTGTCGAGTAACATTCAAATATTTGAAAGGATTAGAATGTCCTAATTTAAAGAGAATGCTTATATGTTTCAAAATTGGTGCAAAAAAAGATACATAGTTGATATCTTAATGAACTAAAATTCTCATTAACTTTGCCTAGTTTGACAAGAATTTATACATGTATCATTTACGCTTATCTCGACTCTTAAATTTGTGAATTATTGATTAAGTTGATGAATTTCTACTCATATTTGAGTATATATTGTGTTTGTAGGCAAAATCCCAATATGGAAGTAAATCGAGAAAAAAGAGATAATTGGAGCTTAGTTGAGAGATAAGGGTGGAATTGAATATCAATCAAGAAGCTGTGCTTGATTGGAAGCTTTGTAAGTTTCAATTGGATGAATTCACAAGTTTGGGGATCAACTTCACTACCCTTGAAACTTTTGAAGGCCAAATTGGAAGGAAATAAAAGCTGAAGGACCAAGTTGGATGAGTTTGAAAGATGAAGGATCATTATGTAAGCAATTGGAAGCAATAGGATTGAGTTTGGATTGATTTAAAAATGGAGGGACTAAAAGTATACATAATTGGAGCTGAGGGACTCAAGTTGAGCAGAAACTTGGAATTGAAGACTAAGCTCTGTTTGGCCCCCCTTTTTTAAAACTCATATTTTTGTCAAATTTATTTGTAAGTACACATTTCATAAGATTCACAACTTTTTAACAACGTATTTCATTAACTTTTATTAAAATTTATTAAAAATTGAATATTATCTAAACAAACATGGTCTAAATCCCCGAAGCTAAAAGTTTTAGGGACGATCGGTCCAATGCTTAGGGTGACCACCCTTGAAGTAAAAACATGTCCATTAAGGACATGTTTGCCACCCTCGCCCCCGCCCTCTCGCCTGCCCTAATGCTTGGAACTGGCAAATGAAATTCCTGATCTTCTGGCTTTAGGTACTTTTGAATATTTCAATGTCACGCTTTCATGGCTAATTGAAGACCAGCTAAGGGGCAAATCTAGGTCAAGAAAAATGGACACAATATACACGAATAGAGACTCCATGGGCGAAGAAAATACAAGACAAAGCATGTGGTAGCATCAAATTCAGGATTGAATGATGATTTCTTGGTGCAAGATTAGTTTTTTTTTCAATTCAAAAAAGCACTTAAAAAATACTACCTAGTTTGAACCTCGGTTTTAATTCTTAACTTTTAATGTTGCAATTGATTTGTGTACAATGTTTTTACTCTATTATCAATGTATGGAATGAATAGCAACTGTTTCGTTTAATTTTGAATGTCATCAAATCGAGAGGTGAGTTATTTATTTAGACCACATAGTAATAATGAAAATTTTGGATGAAAGATGGAGATATACTTTTGCGCTCTATAATTGAATTTTTTAGATCAAACGCGCTTAGTTAAGGCATAATTCTATATAATGAGTTGGTTTAATTAAGTAGAATTGATTTTATTTGAGAGAGGTTATCAATTAATATAGAGGAATTCGATCTAATACATTGAGTCAATTGTCGTTAGAATCCGATTGTTAGAATTGAGGAAATAACTATTGTGAACTTGTGAACCATAATGCTTTTCACATTGGTCTGAAAAACAAGAATTGTTGAAAATACATTCATATTAATTTTGCTTTCTTAATCTACATATTTTTAGAAAAATCACCATATTAAATTGATTTTTGTAATCATTAAAATGTAGGCTAGGCATAATTTGATCGATAATTATATAAAATAGTCTTCATACGAACGATACTCTACTTATCAGTATATTATTTGTTTATTGATATTGTACACTTGTAATTTTTATTGAACAAGAACGCCTAGATGATTCAATTTTTTGCAAAAATGAAGAGGGAAAATTTTGAATATTTTTAAAGAGAGAATTGTACATTTGTCAAAATAATAATAATAAATTAAAAACAAATAGAATGCTCCGTGTACCACTCAATCGTATGTTGCCTATTTGTCCATCCAATAAGTACTCCAACACATGATTGTTGACACCATTTGTAAATATAGTGGTTCTCACTTCTTTATCCTTCTGGAAAGAATCGATCTGAACATTATGTACGTACTTTAATGGATCAATCATTTAGCCAATAACATGTACCATGCCCTCGACACACATGTCAATAGAGTATGTTTTATTCGTTCGTTCTTTATAGTTAAGAACGAGATTTTTCTGACATTCTATATATCGTACGATTGCCTCATCCTTGCTTTGCTTAATTTTGGTCTTATAGAAGCCTGTGAGAAACGCACGCTCAAGTTGATCTCAACTATCGATTGATCCTGCCCGCAAGTCTACATACTATTCAAACAATGCACCTTTGAACAAGCATATAAACTACTTCACCATGATGTCAGTAGATTGTGGCATCAATAAATGTCTCGATGAAATGAGCGACATTTAAAACTAATTAATTATTGATTTTGACTTGAATTTTAATCAATTTTTTTTTTAGCAGAATCAAACAAGGCCAAGTGTCCTAGGAAGAAATTTCCTCTATAAAAATTTGCATCATCAATTTCAAAAGTAATTTAATTGTTACTTGTGCCACCATTCACCAGACTTCTATTCATTTCACTGTTCGTGCCATTACAATTGGAAACCAAGCTCCCAGTTACACTGCACTTTTCATGCACTGAATTAAACTGGACAAAGCCCACACTGTCTTTCACCAAACTTCTGCATTCTATCTCTCCAATGGAAACTCCCACATTTCTACTAGTAACATTATTACTAGTTCTTTATGCCGAACGAGCACGGGCAGCCATCCGCTGTGGGTACTGCGGCAAGACGCTGGTGGCCTACCCTCTGAGCACCAGACCGGATTGTGGTGATCAGGATTATAAAGTCAGGTGCATTGCAAGCAGCCTCTGGTTCGAATCCATGTCAGGAGCGCATTACCTGATCACGTCCATCAATCCACAAGCCCAGCGGATGATCATCCAGCCTCCATCTGTATATCCAGGGACTTGCTTGTCACAAGATTTTCAAAGTCAAGGCATTCAATTGGATGATTCACGCCCATTCAACATCACTGCTAGCAACACAATTCTGCTGTTGAACTGTACTGATAATATGCTGCACTTGCAAGTACCTATAAACTGTTCCTCGAATTGCCTTTGTCATACTTACATTAATAGCACTCCGGTAGCCGCTGCATGCAACAGGGTGACACTTTGTTGTTCTTTCAGAACTGGGGGTTCTCAGAATGCGTATATTATAAGGGTACATCCAAATGGGTGCATGGCGTATCAGAGTTATGTGAATTTGGATTCTTCTTTATCATTTGCAAAGTGGCCTGCGCCGGGGTTGGAGCTTATGTGGGCTACACCGCCGGAGCCGATTTGCAAAACGCAGATAGACTGCCGTGATTTGCCGTTCTCTAAGTGCTCGCCGGATCCCGCAGATGGTAGACAAAAACGGTGCTTTTGGAAGAAAGGCCGGTACTGGGATCCAGCCACCGGATATTGTCGAAGTGAGTAATAGCATTTCTCCTCGTTTGGTTTTGAATTTTTTTTCAAAAATCACTTTTCATCGAACTCATTTCAATTACACATACTCCTAATAAAACAATTTTATATATAAATTCATAATTTTTCCTATTTTTTAACCACACATTTATCCAAAAAAATCACTTTTCACAGACAAGACGCGACTCACTTCCACCCCTAGCTAGAATGTCCAAACCATCTCAATAATATATTGGGTACACCCCCAAACCTTAAGCTCTAAGTACCATGCATTTGTCCTAGTACACTAATAAATTAGAATTAAGCTTGTGTACGACTGGTTTGACACCCTTTGAGATGTCAAAATCGAGATCATTGATTTGAATGAATGTTATTAAAATCAATTGTAAAATTGTGTGTTATGTCAAATAGTGTAAACAAAGACCATGATGTAAATATAGTAAAACTGAATAAATTATTGTATGATGTTGCTGAAATCAAGGACAACATTGTATACTATATATAAATGGGATTTGCTACTTGTATATCATAATGTACATCGAGGTGTACACCTCCCTCACTTGGGGGTGAGACTCGCTTAAATAAAAAAATATTTTATGCAGTGGGTTCCACCTCCCATGTGAGAGGGGTGTAGCCCCTTATGTACAAAAGTTGATGTACAAGTTAAATTTTCCTATATAAATATTCTTTCATCGGTCCCAAGAATTTCAAATAATTTGTATTAGCTCAAGACAATCAGTTTTGCGCTAGGAGTACAGAAAAAGGTTGACAGAACTTTTACAAAAAGACACTCGACAGTTTTTCATTGATTTTTGACACAACAAACACATAAAATGCATCATACAGATACTGTCAACGCAACACCTATGTCATTTCTGTCACTAATTCCCTGTACCTATGAAATTATTTCAAGAAAATTAACTAATTAAGCGTTTGTTTGGCACGAGACGATTTAATGTAAAAAGTAGTTTTTCTACAAAAATTATAATTAAAAAGGTAAAGAAAAGTTACATGTTTCTATGTAGTTAAAAATAATTTTTAGAAACTCTCTGAAACAGACCCTAAGAATATGTTCGTTATTAACATCAGTCGTACTCGGTTTGCAGAGTGTCGACATGGAACAGGCTGCAAATACCACAAGAACAAGACACCAGTAATAGGATGTAAGTATTATAGTTTGTTCAATGAATTTCTTTCCTTTACAGCTTCAAAAGCATCCAAAAATTTGCTTATAATTATGTAGAACAGTACAGTCCTGGAACATAAGAAAATTCCTTGCAAAATAATTGAACAATCTCAACTAAAATCAGTTTGAAAAAGTATTGGAAAGCATAAATTGACATTTATTTGGATAATTACGTCCATGTCTCCAGCCGTGGCGGGTGTGTTTCTGCTTGTTGCCTTGAGCGGATTTCTAATATTCAGACAGCGTCGTTACACCAAGAGAGCAGCTCGAAATGTATTAATCAAGGAGCGTGAAGAAATCTTGAATGCGAATAGCAGTGGAAAATCAACCAAGATCTTCACTGGAAAAGATATCAAGAAAGCAACCAATGACTTCTCCAAAGAAAACCTGCTTGGCTCGGGGGGCTTTGGCGAGGTCTTCAAGGGCACTCTAGAAGATGGTACTGTTAAACTACCTCATCTGGTACTGTTAGATAGGAATGGACTAATTTATTTAAAACTTAACGTATTTAACAGGTACTGATATAGCAGTTAAACGGGCCAAGCCTGGAAATGCCAAAGCAAACTACCAGGTCCTGAATGAAGTTAGGATCCTGTGCCAGGTGAACCATAGGAATCTAGTAGCACTGATTGGTTGCTGCGTCGAGCTTGAGCAGCCTCTCTTAATATATGAATACATATCCAATGGCACACTCTTCGATCACCTCCACGGGTTCCATCTTCGCCAATGGCCACCGCTTAACTGGCTGAGCCGCCTGACCATTGCCCAGCAGGCAGCTGATGGTCTTGCCCAACTGCATTCGTCTGCTGTACCTCCCATTTATCATCGGGATGTCAAAACAAGTAACATACTGCTGGACGAGAATCTAAACCCAGAAGTATCAGATTTCGGGCTCTCACGACTGGTGGAATTAAGCGAAAGAGATTGCACACACATTTACACATATGCTCAAGGAACTTTGGGCTACCTCGACCCAGAATATTACCTTAATTATCAATTAACTGACAGGAGCGATGTTTACAGTTTTGGAGTCGTTTTAATGGAGCTACTAACCTCAAAAAAAGCTATTGATTTTAACAGAGAGGAAGAAAATGTGAACCTGGTGGTTTACATGAAGAGGATAATGGATGAAGAGAAGTTGCTGGATGCTGTTGATCCTGTGCTTAAAGAAGGGGCTAGTAAAGTGGGTTTGGAGACGATGAAAGCGATTGGGAATCTTGCAGCAGCGTGTTTGGATGAACGAAGGCAGAATCGGCCTTCAATGAAAGAAGTGGCTGAAGAGATTAAATATGTAATCAGTATAGTTACAGGTGAAGCTTCAAAGACAGTTCGTAGCTTTTGAATAGGATGACCCCCTTAAGATAAGAACAACTTTTGTTTTGTGTTCTAGTTTCCTGAATTACCTAATCATTATTTTTCAATTTAGGTCGACCCCAAGACAGGCTTGGTATTGTGGCCATTGCTGATTAATGTTTTAGGCACTGTCATGATTTATCAGAGCAAAATGTATCAGAAAATTTTAACAATTTTATGTGCAAATCAGCGACCGGGAAACTGTTGATCTCTACGTTTATGTTTTTCTTCTTTTCTTTCACTTCACCTGAGCACAATGCCATAAAAGCCATCTATTTTCTGGATTATGATACTGTATCTTAATTGCAGACACATCAACTCTTTTACAAGATAAGTGGAACCTCAATCAACCTCCATTAGAGTCGAGAAACTCGACACCTAAGTGAAAGAAACAGAATCAAAAGTGAAAATCGACAATTTCAAAGCAGCAATAGTTAGATTAATTTACATGTGATAGAAGGTGTGGAATATTTCAAATGCACAAAAGTAAACCTAACCTTGAATAATTTAAATGGAAGCTAGGATCCAAAACATCACATGAGATGACATAGCAACTAGGAACCATGTAACGAATGCCAAAGCTATAGAGAGCTCAAATCTGTCACATGGGAGATTTACTGGACCTCTACAAAATTTCAAGTCTCTCCTGTACAAAACTGCGACCCCTGCTGAAGAGCATGCGGCTGCTAGTGATAAGGTAGCTGTTACCTGCATTTGATCTGATATTATTCACCAAAATGAGGTGGAAATAATGGATTAACACTTACTACTACTGGAATCAAGGTTTTAACAGAGGAGAAAGTGCACGAGAAAGGCAACAAAAGAAAAATGAAGGCCAGGTATAAATACTCTAATAGCTACGTTAAGCCAGGTAAAACTTGATTATGCATGTAGCTGTTTCAAATTAGATGCCAGAAACAGATCTATTTTTCTTATCTCAAGACTTTGGAATCAAAAGATTTCAAGAGACCTAAAAATCCCGGCTAGGTTTAGATGGTGTTTCAATTAAATAAAAAGGAAAAAGTCAATTATTAAACTAAAAGTGGATATATTGAAGCAATTATAGTCATGGCAAGAATAAGGACAATGGTCAAGTCAAAGGATTGTTGTCCTAAAGAGCAAGTATTTAGATATTTACGCAGATAGAATAGAGCAAGAGCAATAACACACGATTACTAACGTAGATTCACACATGAATACCACTTTGGATCAAAGAATTGGAGAAATCTCTCACAATTATATTATTTTTATCAAAATCAAAGTCAATCCTACAATCAAACGGAGGCTACGTATTCTGGAAGTAATGCAAACTTTAATAAACATTACAATTTAGTCCCTTAGTTCATAATGAAATATATAATAAATCATAGCTAAATAAAGCGACAAAATTTAATAAATAAATAACTTAAAATCATCTAAATTTGTGGGCCACATACAGATTTGGCATTGCATCATCCTCTCCAAGTTGAGGAAGATCCGCCACCCCAAATCTTATGCCGTATCTTTATCTAGTGTCTCGTAATATGATGCATTCCATGGAAAAAATATAAGTAAACTCATCAACCAAATATTGAATAGCGATGTAAACTAGGTATTAGCTAAAATTGCTCTCTTTATTTCAATATATGATTTTTGAGTCTCAAACCTAACCAAGCCACTAAAAGAAAAGCACTCAACATTAGCATTGCACGCCTTATCATTGGAATGTTTTATGACATGTAAACATCACCAACGTCGACATCATCTTAGCTGAGATGTCAAATAGAGTTGGTGCCACAATAAATTGAAAAAAAGCTTCCTAATCTTTGCAAACAGAGTAAACTTGTAGGACTTGTACTTAGAGTAGAAATGATAGGTAATAGGAAAATTACATTTTGAAGACAACCTATAACTTCAAACTGTCAAATTAATTCCAACCTCAATCCGATCCACATAAAAGACAATTTTTGGATTTTCCAAAAACATCGTTCTTAGAAAACAACTTAGAAGACTTACCACCTCCTTCTCATTATAAAAATCAGGCTCCTCATCAAAAATTGGTAGACCAGTGTAATATTTTCTTAAATCAATATCCAATTGGGATCATCATCGCCATTAGAGTCCTCCTCCAAGATTGACTCCATACTAGTTGTCACGCCACCCATGCCCACAAATCTGTTGTGCTAATTCCTACTGTTGACTCTATTGAGTTGACCACCTCCAATAGCACCCAACAACGGGATTGTCCCATTGTTGGGCCTTCAACGTCCCCATTTGTTGCTCTAAAAAATCGATTTATTGGTAGATTTGTGTCATATACACTTGATAGTGAATCTCATCCAAGAATGCTTCATGAACACCAACTCATACCTATCAACAACGTGGCTGTATCTGATACTGCTATGTTTCTCATTACAAGATATGTGACTTGAATCCCACGTCGAAAGTATGGGCCTTCGGTGTGTGGTTTATAAAGAATTGAGTTCTCCAACTTAAATAACTAGTTTTTGAGATGTGACTCTCTCAAGATCTATATCAATGGTATAAGAACAAGTATCACGTCTCTCGATTGCAATCGAGCGACTCGGCATAGCAGTGTCTTTCCGGGACTAGTCATGGACTAGTGCAAAGCCAGTCCGACATGGACACAGAGATCAAGGAGCATGATGGATTGTTATGATTCTCATTGTAAAGTATGAGATTTGAATCCCACATCGAAAATATGGACTATTGATATAATTTATATAGATTTGGGTTCTCCAACTTCAATAGCTAGCATTTGAAGTATGGTTCTCCCAAAATCTATATCAGATACCAGTTGCCATAGACAGATTCGAGCAAAAACGAAGACACGTGATCACTAAAAGTTGATTCACCGACGGATACCATTTTGGATCAAAGAATTGGAGAAATATCTTACAATTATGTTATGTTTTTTCAATATCAAAGTCAATCTTACAATAAACAGTTGGTGGCTACTTATTCTAGACCTACTGTAAACTTTAATAGATATTACAACTTAGCCCCCGTTTGGCCCCCATTTTTCTCCATTAAATTATAATTCATTTTTCTCTCTCTTCTTATCAACCACACATCCTCCAATAAAATAATATAACACGTAAATCAAAAAAAATTTCCTTCTTTTTTAACCACACACTATCCAAAAAATTACTATTCNTGGCACTGCATCACAAGTAATCCTTTCAGACTTTCTCCATTCGTACAACCTACTTTGATTATGCATTTGATTTATTAAGTACAAATATAGTTGGCCTCAAATCAAATGCATAATCAAAGTAGGTTGTACGAATGGAGAAAGTCTGAAAGGATTACTTGTGATCAAAATTACTTGCACAATTTAAGAGCAATTTCTATAGAACGATTATTAGACAAGCTAAGGTGTTGGACCATAAAAAGATAAAATCTCCACGAAATAAAATTTTAAAAATTCGGATATAGGATGGAACATAAGCGCTCATTGGTAGGATGGACCATCATTTGCTAGGTCTTTGAGTGCCTTTCTAACTACATGTTTGGTGCACTAGGCTGGTAGGAGAATTGACCTTTTGGATATAGAACTTGGCCTCAGCATGGTGTGCCAACTCTTAGTGGTTCTACATCCAGTAGTTTGTGGTATATTCGTGATGTAGTCTTATCAGAATGGATATAATAGAAAACTGGAAAATACAATAACAAATTGAGGCGGCATGCAAATTGAACATAAACCAAGGGAAAGATTACTCAGAAGAGGTACATGAAATTTAACACGGCCTAAAATGGTTGTAAAGGATAAAAATATTATTGGACTCGTCAGAGGAGACAATTTCATATTGAACAAAATGGCAAGAAAAAATTCACATTAGTTTCAAAAAAAAAAATAATAATAATAACAATAATAATAACTTGCAAGAAAAATTCACGTAGTTAGCTCGAAGTATAGTTGGCATGAATCCTAACTTGTCACTGTAATGTGGAATTGGTACTTAAGCATATAAGGGAAGACTTTTACGATGCCATGGCAAATAAAAATAACCATCCGAATTACAATTGAAAAGTTCTAAAGTACTCTAGCCTGACCTCTATAGAAGAAAATTTGTGTCTAAAACAATTCATAGTCTGAACAAATTGGGGCAAGAGGCTTGGCACAAACTCATACTGATAAATAAAGTGGCACAGAATCAATTCGTTTGATATAATGGAATTATTGGATATCATAACCAGAGTTGATTTAAAATGAAGACACGATGGAATGTGATAACTATCAATATGGTATCATACAACAAGATCACCATAAAAGGTTGTTTACCCAATCACCCACAACAAACAGGCTCGCCGAGACTGGATTACAGAGGTCTTTCTTTATCCACGAAGCATAGGCATCTAGACATGCAAGTCCGAAGCTCCATAATAATTGAAGCCCCATTGATGCGATCAGACAGCTGAATAAAACAGTTAAGTAATTTCAAAATTATGAAATGGATTAAGATCCAATGATCTCTCTGTGTTGAAAAATTAAATGGCCTTGAGGCAGCCCAGAACTCCCGACTATGCCCCAGGTTTTAGCAAACCAATGTGTTTGTGGATGACGAAATACTGGAAACAAAAATATCAACTGGAATAAAGTCATAGAAACATCTTAATTTTACATACAATATGAAGACCGAGAAACTAAGATCATTTCACATTAGATGTAGCAAATATAAATTAAGATTTTCCAAATGGAAATAAATGAAAGCACTGCTTGTTTTTATTTTTAGTTACACTTAAATACTACTAAGAAAACAAAGTAAAAATCAAACTTCCATTGGCACTTTCAATATCAGGCATTTCGTAGACAAATATACCATCATCAATACGCATACTCTGATTTTTAAAGCTCTGAAACTTTTGATGATCACAGTATTTGTCCGCGAGAAATAGCAAGCATCTACTAAAAGTTGAGTCTATGTAGCCGAAAATCTGAACGGCTACCAATTTACTTTCATTTGAACTTCCAGGTGTTTAAATAGGAACCTCAAAACTCTCACTCTAGCAACACCAACAGCATCCTGGTTGAAGATAAACATTTTCATGAATAATTTTCAGATTTTCTTTCACACACCAGCAATACAAATTGGAACACGACACTATCAAATTTTCTTATATGTTAGCTTACTAAAATTCAGCGTAATTTTAGAATTCTGAAAATAATGGGGTCATGGATCCACCATATTGCTATTGTATTAAACAACATAAGGCACCTGAAGACTATACTACACTCAAAACTCCCTTTTTATTTTATTTGTGACAAGAAATACCAGATTTAAAATAACTCACAAATCAATCTCATCAGACTTAAAATGCACCAGTGAAAATATCAATTCATAGGGACAAAAAAGGGGCAGGGAGAAGAAATATACCAGAAAGCTGTGAAGTTGGAAAACCCATGAACAGAAACCATAACTCCAATGGATCCAGCTGCAAATATACACTGCAAAATCCTGAAAAATAATCCACTTACAGAACCTGTACTCCCCAACAAATCCTTCATGTCTCTTTCTCAGTAAATCCCTTCAAGTAAAAAACGGCCCTTTTCCTCAAAACAAAAAATGGCCCTCTCCAAATCCCTAGATTCTTCCAATCTCCCCCATTTCATCAACCCACTAAATCAATACCCGAAAATAATTCATATATATCACTCTCTTCAATTTTTAGTTCAGAGGATTTGGTTGGATACAGTTGATTTAGATGGGTAAGATAGAGATAGAGATTGTAAATTGAAATAAATGAATAATCCAAATCCATGCAGCCAAATGAACAGTTTTGCTAGGAAAAATATTAGAGCTTCATGTGTTTACTGTTCTTTAATGAAATTTACTTTAGCTCTCATTAAAGAACAGTAAACAATGAATTTCGAGTAGAGATTCGTTGTCTTAACAAGATGAATTATTTGCTTTGGTTTGACACTGACACACCTACAGTGGATTTATTTTTCTAGCATTTTTCAGTCAAATTTTTTTTTTTCTTGTAGGAATATTTTATTGTCATTTACTCGAATTAAGTTGCTCATCGATTTAGCCTGTTCCACGCTAAGCCGAGCATCGAATCACTTGTGCAAGTTGTTTATCAGCTTGTGGGCAAGTGGACTCATCATAATGAATGAAAAATATAATTTCAATAAAATATAAATAAATTAGTGAGCCACGAGCAATTTGCCAATGGACTCACTTGAGCCAAGCTCTGCTCGCTTAATTTAACACCTCTAAGTCGAATTGAAATCTTGCATGCCTCTTTTGCAATTGCTACTGTTACGGGCCTGTGTCAGACCCGCCACCTCACCCCGACACGTGTCCACCCACGTGGACCAAGCCACGTGCCGGACGAGGTGATTAAACCAAAAATCGAACAGATTGTATCATAGATAGGCTAAACATTGTATCTATTTATTTGATCATTCTTCAAATGTAAAAAGCAAGTTTCAGAAATAAAATCATCACAGATTTAACATGGTATCAGCCAAATCACGTTCCTGATTCCTCTTCTTCCAAACATCTCCATGGCTATCCCTCCCAACTCTTCTTCTTCTCCTTACCTCCTCCATTCTTCAGATTCTCCTAGCCTAATCCTAGTTTCTGGTCTCCTTACAGGAGATAATTTTCCTAAATGGCAAAAAGCCATGACTCGTGCCCTCAACGCCAAGAACAAACTCAGCTTCGTTGACGGCACTATTTCCCCACCAGACAAAAATTCAGCAGAATATACACAATGGAATCAAACCAAGGACATGGTCCTTACCTGGCTTCTCAACTCCATCAGTCCATCCATCGCCAACTCTCTTGAATTCCATACCGACCCACGTGAAGTATGGCTCGATCTCCAGTCTCGTTTCTGTCATGGAAACAACGCTCGCATCTACCATCTCAAAAGAGAACTCTCATCCCTACACCAGAAAACCCATTCTGTCCACGAATACTTCAACCAGATTAAACAATTCTGGGATGAACTCAGTCATCTACAACAGGCCAATGATCTTAAAGAATTACAGAAGCAAGCAGAGGACGAGCGAATTTACCAGTTTCTCATTGGACTCAACGACTCCTTCTCTCAACTCAGATCCCAAATCTTGGCCATGGAGCTCCTCCCCTCCATCACAAAAAATTTTTCTATCCTTTTTCGGGAGGAACAACAGAGACTTCTCCAAATCAGACCCACTTCGACGGAATCACCTGTCTTTGCCGCTCACTCCGGTGGTCTTCAAAAATCGTCGATCAAATGCACAGAATGCGGTCGCAATGGCCATACTCGAGATCATTGCTGGCGGATCATTGGGTATCCACCGGGTCGCGAACCACGGGCCAAGGGCAAGCCCTCTCTTCTCGGCAAACCCCCCACTGGTTGCCACCAATGGTCCATCAAGCCTCCTCTTCCAACCTCCAGTCACCGGTGCCTGGTCTTCCACCTGATCTCTACCAAAAACTCCTAGAGTTGCTCAGTACGAAACCTCCATCAGTCAACTTTGTGGGTAATGTTTCTCACCCTTTCTCTTCCGGTGATTATCAATTATGGGTTGTTGATAGTGGTGCAAGCCATCACATGTGCTTTGATAGAAACTCATTCACGCAGCTCACCGTACCCACAACAATGCAACACGTTACTTTACCTACGGGTCAAACCCTTCCAATTGAAGGAATTGGAACCTGCCCCTTGATTGAATCACTCATTTTATACAATGTCTATTTTGTCCCTCAATTCAATTTTAATCTTCTTTCTGTCCCTCAACTTACCACTAATAATTCTTGTCTTGTTTCTTTTTCTTCTACCAAATGTTTTTTTCAGGACCCACAGTCGACGAGGCTGATTGGAGCGGGTGAGCTTTGCAATGGACTTTATGTGTATCGTCCCCAACCCATTACTGCCTTCTCCACTCAGGTCATCGCCAATAAAATCCTATGGCACCAACGCCTAGGTCATCCTTCCAGCTTAAATATTCCTAGTCTTTTTAATAATAATAATCCTTGTGTTGTTCATGATTGTGATATTTGTGCTTGTTCTAAGCACACTAGACTTCCTTTTCCTTCACATGCTAATAAAAGTACATTTGCGTTTAATCGCATTTTTTGTGATATATGGGGTGGTTATCATACTTCTTCAATTTGTGGTGCTCATTACTTTCTTACAATAGTTGATGATTTTTCTCGCACTACATGGATATATCTTATGCGACATAAATTTGAAGCTTATACCCATCTCATACATTTTTTTGCACTTATCCAAAATCAATTCAACTCCACAATTAAAATAATAAGAACTAATAATGGACAAGAATTTCTTTCCCACAAATTTCAAAATTACCTCCATGATCACGGCATCATTCATGAACGTACTTGTGTTGAAACTCCACAACAAAATGGCGTTGCGGAGCGCAAACACCGACACTTCTTGAATGTTGCACGCAGTCTCCGTTTTCAAGCACACTTACCCCTAAAATTTTGGGGTGATTGTGTGCTCACTGCTGCTTATCTCATCAATCGCACCCCTAGTCGCATCCTCCAAAATAAATCCCCTTTTGAACTTCTATTTAACATCCCGCCAAGCTACGCTCACTTACGTGTGTTCGGGTGTCTTTGCTATGCTCAAACTCTCCACACTTCCCGTGACAAATTTTCTCCACGTGCCTCTAAATGTATTTTCCTCAGTTATCCCGGTACCCATAAAACATACAAGCTTTACAACCTCGAAACTCAAGCCACCTTCTATTCTCGTGACGTCACCTTCCATGAACAAATTTTTCCATTTCAAGATAGCCCTGACCTTACAAATACATCTCTCCCCATTATTCCGCTTCCCGTTCCTGAAACCATACCACCATCCCCTTCCCCTCCTATCACTCCTAATCTTCTCAACTCATCTCCCCCACCACCATCTCCTCCCTTTCTTCGTCCTCGTCGCACTACTACACGGCCTACATACCTTCAAGATTATATTTGCCCGACCATACGCATGGAGTCCACTGCATCCTCATCTGCTACTTCGACCTCAGGTAGTGCTCATCCCTTATCTGCTTTTCTTTCTTATTCTCGTTTCTCACCTTCTCATCTTACCTTTTTAACTGCTCTCACCACTTCTGTTGAACCTTCTTGTTATTCCACTGCTGTTCGTCACTCTCATTGGCGTGACGCTATGTCTGCTGAAATACTCGCCCTTGAAGAAAATTCTACTTGGACGCTTGAGCCACTTCCTCCTGGTAAAACACCCATTGGCTGTAAATGGGTCTTCAAAACTAAACTTAAGGCAGACGGTTCCATCGAGAGATACAAAGCTCGACTTGTTGCCAAAGGCTATACTCAGACCGAAGGCCTTGACTATCACGAGACCTTTGCTCCAGTTGCCAAAGTGACCACAGACCAACTCGACGTCAACAATGCTTTTTTGCACGGAGATCTAGATGAAGAAGTCTACATGACACCACCACCCGGGTATTGTCCTAAGGGGGAGACTCGCGTTTGTCGACTCAGAAAATCCCTCTATGGCCTCAAGCAAGCCTCCCGCAACTGGTTTTCTAAACTAGCAAATGTGCTTCTTGATGCAGGTTTTCATCAGTCTCAGGCAGATCATTCTTTATTTACTCTCGTCACTCACATCAACATCACTATTGTTCTTGTTTATGTTGATGATATCTTGGTCGCTGGCAATGACATCTCTCAAATTAAAGCATTCAAGAGCATTCTCTCTACCCACTTCAAGACAAAAGATCTCGGCCCGCTCAAATATTTTCTTAGTCTTGAAGTGGCCCGCTCTCAAATGGGCATTTTCCTTAATCAACGGAAATATGCACTTGACATTCTTTCTGATAGTGGACAACTTGGTGCTCGGACTGCTTCTTTTCCTATGGAACAAAATCTGAAGCTCACTGATCATGATGGCATTCTTCTCACCGAACTTTGTGCTTATCGTCGACTTGTTGGGCGCCTCATCTACCTGACCATCACTCGTCCTGATATTGTTTTTGCAGTGAACATTCTTAGTCAGTTCATGCACGCTCCCTGTGTTCCTCACATGCAAGCCGCCACGCGGGTTCTTCGCTACATCAAAGGCAGCCCAGGGTATTCTTTTCTCTTCCTCTAGCAACTTACATGTTATTGCTTACACTGATTCAGATTGGGCAAGTTGTCCCACCACTCGTCGCTCCACCACAGGTTATTTCATTCAACTTGGCACCAGTCCCATTTCTTGGCGCACCAAAAAGCAAACAACAGTGGCCCGTTCATCAGCCGAAGCTGAATATCGCGCCATGGCGGTCACTAGCTACGAACTCACATGGTTAAAACAGCTCCTCACTGATCTTGGTATTCCTCATTCTGAGCCTTTCAGCCTATATTGTGACAATCAATCAGCTCTTCACATTGCTCACAATCCTGTCTTTCATGAGCGTACCAAGCACATTGAGATTGACCGTCACACTGTTCGTGATAAAATAAAGTCTGGACTTCTAACCGCTTGCCATACCTCCTCTTATGAGCAAATTGCTGACATTTTCACCAAAGCATTGGGACACGAGCTCTTCCATCATTTTCTACACAAGTTGGGCATTACGGATCTCCATACACCAACTTGAGGGGGAGTATTGACAGAACAGAATTTCAGTTACACTAAATTAGAGCAATCTTCACGAAATTAGCATAATCTCTCTTGATTTTAGCAATGACAAATGTAACTTACCATAGATAGGCTAAACATTGTATCTATTTATTTGATCATTCTTCAAATGTAAAATACAGTTTCAGAAATAAAATTATCACAGATTTAACAAAAACTCCCTTTTTATTTTATTTGTGACAAGAAATACCAGATTTAAAATAACTCACAAATCAATCTCATCAGACTTAAAATGCACCAGTGAAAAAATCAATTCATAGGGACAAAAAGGGGCAGGGAGAAGAAATATACCAGTAAGCTGTGAAGTTGGAAAACCCATGAACAGAAACCATAACTCCAATGGATCCAGCTGCAAATATACACTGCAAAATCCTGAAAAATAATCCACTTACAGAACCTGTAGTCCCCAACAAATCCTTCATGTCTCTTTCTCAGTAAATCCCTTCAAGTAAAAAACGGCCCTTTTCCTCAAAACCAAAAATTGCCCTCTCCGAATCCCTATATTCTTCCAATCTCCCCCATTTCATCAATCCACTAAATCAATACCCGAAAATAATTCATATATATCACTCTCTTCAACTTTTAGTTCAGAGGATTTGGTTGGATACAGTCGATTTAGATGGGTAAGATAGAGATAGAGATAGAGATTGGAAATTGAAATAAATGATTAATCCAAATCCATGCAGTCAAATGAACAGTTTTGCTAGGAAAAATATTAGAGCTTCATGTGTTTACTGTTCTTTAATGAAATTTACTTTAGCTCTCATTAAAGAACAGTAAACAATGAATTTCGAGTAGAGATTCGTTGTCTTAACAAGATGAATTAATTGCTTTGGTTTGACACTGACACACCTACAGTGGATTTATTTTTCTAGCATTTTTCAGTCAAATTTTTTTTTTTCTTGTAGGAATATTTTATTGTCATTTACTCGAATTAAGTTGCTCATCGATTTAGCTTGCTCCACGCTAAGCCGAGCATCGAATCACTTGTGCAAGTTGTTTATCAGCTTGTGGGCAAGTGGACTCATCATAATGAATGAAAAATATAATTTCAATAACATATAAATAAATTAGTGAGCCACGAGCAATTTGCCAATGGACTCACCTGAGCCAAGCTCTGCTCGCTTAATTTAACACCTCTAAGTCGAATTGAAATCTTGCATGCCTCTTTTGCAATTGCTACAAACGTTTGTACAGTTTGGAAAAAAATTACTCTTTTATTCTTCAATAATTGCCTTTTTTTTCTCTATCAAAAATAGCATAGTGCAATCCCTTAATAGCATATAACATCATGGAATCACAATATCCTGAAGCATCATAGTATAGTATCAATTCCTTTGACAGAACATAACCATAAACATAATACTTTTGCGAATTGGTGTCCATGTAATGCGTTCCTTTTCAGGTATTTTCTAATTTCTCCATCTCCAATTTGGATGATTTTTAATTATCAGCCATTTTTAGAGTATATATTGATGTCCTTAGTTTTTATTTCTTGAGAGAGTTGTCTCCAAAGTTAACATTGAACTTGAAAATTTGTCTCGTTAGAAGCAGGGAGGTGAAGAAAATCTATGAATAAATAATACAATAGAAGTTCCAGTTACATCATCCATCCATCCGTCCGTCCATCCTCGCTCTTCAGTTTTCTGCCTCATCTTTACATCCTTCACCAACAACATCTTCCAGTTCACCAAAATATTAAATATAGAAATGGGATACCTGGACAATCGTACCAAAATACCCAACAAGAATTCTCCGATCCTATCGCTCCTTCCGACGTCTATCTTGTTACGACTTCACTCCAATCAATTAGTAGTCTTGCTTTCGGCATCCCCACAGGTAGTTTTATAATAAGGGTGTATTTAATTGCAATTATGAAATTTGTATAGAAAGAAAATAAATTTTATACAATTCAATTGTCTATAATTTATTTTTATGAAAATTATTAATTAAATGTGTTTGATTGATTTAATTTTCAACCTAGAAAATATTATATTTTTTATTGGTGGGTTGATGAGAGAGGGAAAGAGAGAGAAAATTACTTGAAAAATAAAAATTAACAATCCTTAAAGAAAATATTTTCTTTTTTTAAGGAAAAGATGGACATATGACCAAAAGTTGAAAAATATTTTTGATGAAAAAAAATTGTCAATCAAACATTCCAAAAGTAAAAATTTGGGTGAAAAATGACATTTTTCATAGAAAATAAAGTTAATCAAACACTCTAATTTATCAACAAAAAAAAAAAAAGATTATACTATATGTACATAATAGGTTTACATATGATGAGATATGATTAATTCAGAATTTTTTCAACAAAAAAAAAAATTTTTACTTTCTTTTTGACATCAAATCTATACTTAAATGGCTCATGCAATGTAATGAACTCCCAAAATTTGCACACGCACGAAGTCTTTTCCCACGTGCGGGGAACGTTGCAAAACTCCAAATGACGAGCCGCCACATCCGACTACACTCTCTGAAGTAGAAAATATCTGAACCAGACATTGACGTCTCTCTCTCTCTTGAACCCGCCCAGAGAAACGGCGTCGGCTTGTGTCTTTTCATTTATTGTTTTCTCGCGTTTTCCCGGAAGCTAGAGGTGGTTTAAAATTCTTCAAGGTGCGGATTTCCTTTTAAGTTTTGGTTTTTTATTATTCAACCTTCTCCGAACTTTTGAATTGAATAATTTAATTGTTTATCCTTTTTAGGTATATCTATCCAAGATTGTAATTTTGTGCCTTTTGCTGGGTTATGTTGCAATTAGTCGACTTTACATCGCATTATTAAGTGAGTTTTTAAACCAAAATGGCGGGTTGTTCATCATGTATTAGACTGAACCATTTCAAGAATTTGCAAAAAGATATCATTTTTTCGAGGAATATGAGGATTCGGAACCCAAATTTGATGTTGCAAAAATTTCAAAATTCTAGTAAGGTAATAAAAACGAAGGAGCAGTTGTTGTTGAAAACGAAAAGGCATGTACTCTTAATTGTGAATACATTGAATCCGGAGACTGAGCCAGTATCTGGTGTGGCTGTGACCACAGTAACTAAGGCTAGTGATGGAAGTCACGTAGAAAAAGATGCTACGGTGTTGGGCAGTGATTATGTATCCAAAGGTGATAAAGAAAATGGAGATGGTGATGTGAATTTGGTTGATGGGAGTGGTGGAAATGGGAAGTTTTCTGGTGGCAGCGGAGGTGGTGGTGGAGGTGGGAATGAAGGTGGTGATGACAAGGAGGAAGAGGAGTTGGGACCCATACTAAAATTTGAGGAGGTGATTAGAGAGGCCGAAGCTCGAGGAGCTACTCTTCCAGTTGATATGCTGGAAGCTGCAAAGAGTGGGGGCATTCGAAAGGTGCTTCTGCTTAGATATTTGGACATGCAGGTAAAAATTAACGCACACGAGTGACCTTTATGCAGGAAAAAACTTTTGAAGCTTCCATGGTATATAGATGATGGCTTTGTGATTTTTGTATTCATAGGGATCTGTTTGGCCACTGGGATTTCTGATGAGGTCATGCGCTATGCTGCGGAACAGGATGTTGGCTGATCCATCCTTTCTTTTCAAAATAGGAACAGAGGTTTGTAGTACATGTTCTTATTGTTTCTTTGTCTAGAAAATGCATTTTATTTCATAGATATACTTGCATAAAGAGTGTAATTACTTTCCAGTTTGCTGTTATGATGTAGCATAAAATCCGTCCACTTTAAATGGTTATATATCCATCCACATTGCAAGTGTCTAAAATTTTATTTACTGCAATTTTTAGTGGCTCATCTCCATAAACTTGCTATTAGTTCAGTTATATTTGACCATAGCATTAATAAACTTGTTGGTGTGTAAATTTTCTCATTAGCTTGGGATGCATAAATTTATCTCAATGTGATTGTTTACTGATGTAGATAGTCATTGATTCTTGTTGTGCAACATTTGCGGAAGTCAAAAAGAGGGGCAAAGACTTCTGGTCAGAATTTGAATTGTACACTGCAGACCTTTTAGTTGGAGTGGTTGTCAATGTTGCTTTAGTTGGTATGTTAGCTCCATATGCTCGATTTGGACAGCCACGTGCATCTCAAGGGTTTCTTGGTCAAATGTTGAGTGCTTATGCAGCTCTTCCTAGCAGGTTTTCTTTAACGCCTTTCTTGCCCATCAAATTAGGCCTTCAAATCTTTTGGATTTTTTTAGTGTAACGACTTAATTTACATGAGTAGGTTACTGTTTTTCTTTCTTCCATTTTTTTAAACCTGTGTAGTCTTACCTGATTACGTAAAATTCTTTGTGTTACTTCTAAACGAGTTTCTTAGTTTTAATTAGTTTACAATTTAACAATAGTCATATAAAATTTCAAATGTGAATTTGATGCAGTGTTTTTGAGGCAGAACGGCCTGGATGTACATTTACAGTAAACCAGAGAATTGCCACCTATTTTTATAAGGTAACTTCTGCATCTCTTGTAAAATGTGATATTTTTATATACATCTCCATTCGAAACAGAGAAATGTCAGATGGATATGCATATAATCTGAAATTTTATTCTTTTACATCAAATGCTCAAATACTTTATTTTTGCCTTTTCTGACCCTTTTTCCTTTTCATATCGACCAAAAGCTCTCGGCATTTCTCTCTCTTTACATTTTAACTATATGTATTTCATTTTCAGGGCATTCTCTATGCATTGGTTGGGTTTGGATGTGGTATTATTGGCCAAGGAATTGCAAATTTAATAATGACTGCCAAACGGTATGTTTCCATCTAGAAGTCATGTATGCATGTGTTTGTATGTGTTAGACACATGGTGATGTGAACTAGTAATGTCGAAGACTCAAATCTGATTTAGAATATATCTTAGTCTGAACTTCAATCTACTTTAGCTTGTGTGGCTCCTTCATTCATCTGGACCTAAAAAATATTAACTGATACTATCAAGTATCTACAGAGGTGTTCTGAATCAATGTAAAGTTACCTTAATGTCTCTGCCATTATATATGACTTCTGCATAAAATTGATAACATATTGCATATTCCAAAATTTATGAAATGTGTGTTTATCAGTGGACCATCATGTCTTATGATCCATGTTCTTTGAACATCAGGAGCATAAAAAAATCGGAGCACGACATACCAGTTCCACCCCTAGTGAAGAGTGCAGCTCTTTGGGGTATGCTTGCTTAACTCCTTGCTTTTGTTCTTATTGTTAACTTGTTACTTGGGCTGCATTATACTTCCAGTTCCACCACGTGAAGAGTACAGTTCTTAGTGTTGCTAGAGTATTTTGTGTAGCACGTTGATTCTTTAGTGTGATTACCTTTGGTTGTGCTCAAGATTGAGCAAATGACCACTTTTCCAATAAAAGGAGGCTTTTGCTATAATTGGTAATGTTGACTTTATTAGGCCCCGTGAGGGATAGTTTGAAGAGATAGTGTCCCGTGTTGACTTGGAATCATAAATTCCATGTGAAATGGTATTAGTGCACACTTTGGACTATGCTTATGAAGCTCTGCAACATGGGAAACTAGCTGAGTTAGTTTGGGTAATATTCAACAAGTTGAGTGAGGGAATCCATGGCATCCCAAGACAATAAAGACCATCATGACTTGTGATATAGTTATCTTGGAGGAACGACTTAACCTAGCCAAGGTTGTGTGATTATCTCTTAGCCGTGACTAGCTTAATTAAAGCATTTGAGCACTAGTGGTTTTGGCCAGTAGCATGGTTTTTCTGGTACCATGTGGTGTTTTTGCCTCTGCCTAGTGGTGGTGCAGTTTGGGCAACTTAGTTACAACCAAATGGTAATCTTTGCCCACCAAGGAATTGATATATTATCACTAAATTAAGTGAAGAAATACAGAAGTTTGCGTGACAGCGTGTGCGAAAAAATCTTTGTATTCCACTAACTGCGAAAATAATTTACAAACACAGTTCTTTTACTCTATATAGTTCTCTACTTACCACTCCGACTCTATATGGATTATAAACAGGCACGCCTATTTACGATTGCGGCCTCCTCAAAAAAGTAGTGGCAATTCTTCTCATCCAATATATAAAGAGTTCATCTAACTACTTACCTCTTCACTCGATCAATATTTGTGCTTCACAGATGTCATAGATATTTATTCAGGAAAATAACTAGAGATGAACGACTAAAATTTCATGCATTAATACTATTTTAGATAATAGGTGTTCCTTCTTATCCTACAATATCCATAGAATGTTCTAAAACATGTGTATTTAGTCCATGCAAAATTGTCTCCAAGCCATCGGAGAATTCTGAATCCTCATTTCTGCAGTAAAATTAATCAATAGAAGTTTGATTTAACTTCTGCTCTTGCATATAGGATGGTGCATTCTTATAAAAACTGTGTATACTCTTGGTACCTCTAACTAGTATATAGTTTGCCTAATGTTTGAAGTGAATAGTTCAAAAGGTTTGCACTCACATCTCTTCTACTCAACTAAAAGGTACATTTCCTACCCAATTTCAGGTGTTTTTCTGGCAGTGTCTTCCAATACCCGATATCAGATTGTAAATGGGCTAGAACGTGTGGTGGAAGTGTCTCCATTGGCAAAGCAGGTTCCACTCGTTGCCATGGCTTTTACAGTTGGTGTGCGATTCTCCAACAATGTCTATGGAGGGATGCAATTTGTGGATTGGGCCAAGTGGAGTGGTGTGCAATGATCATTTAACAAATGATTATTCAGTGAAACATTTGCTGCAAATGTAATGCATCTAACAACTTTACAATTGTAGTATTTTGCTGCCAGATAGCTACACATTCTCACACGTGTCCCAGAATCAAATAATTTGGTTAATTACTGAAATATTCAGACACTGAAACCCATGAAAGAGATCACAACAGAGCATAGCACTATAGCTGGCCTGGCCCGGAAAGGAGCCCATTCAATGACAGCTATTTTACTTCCCGCGCTTTTTTGTTTTCGTAATAGTATAAATAACCTTTTAATCTACTGAAATCCCAATTCTTCATTCCCAATTTTTCCAATCTTGAATCCTATTATATCAAGAAAAGTGAAAATTCGTGAAGAATTGTCGATCTCATCCACCCTATGCGGCTATGCCCACCCTCTGCCACCAAGAAATACCTTAGCGCCACCCTCTGTGATGATCTTTTGACGAAAAATCACTAACCAATCAAGAAAGCACCCAAACAAGTGGAACATCACCAAGACTCGTCCTCCTCTGAGCCCACCTCCCTGGCCGCTCCTCTTTTGGAGCCATCTCGCTCCTCCAGGATAATAGTGATCGGGACAATATTCGGGCACTACCATGGCGGGCATGTGTGGTTCTGTGTGCTGCATGATCGATTCAATATCCATCCCTCCCTCCTAGAGCTCTCCATCCCGACCACTAGCATCGTCCATGAAATGCAATGTGTCCGCATTGCACACGAGTTCAAGGCGCTGAACCCCCAGAATCTGAACTGGGCCACTGCCCCTTACGCTGGGATTAAAGGGTCGGTTTTTCTTGCTGAGAGGTAAGTGATTATGAAGGGAATGAAAAACATAAGATAAATCCTCGAGAGGGCAAATCTTGGGTAGAATCAGAAAATTCGAATTTCTGAGGATTTTTCTTCCTTCAATTCTTCTTTGAGGAAATGTGTACTTTTAATAAGAGAATCTCAGATTTAATTTAATATTAATTTTTTTGAACTATATACATATCATTAAATCAAGAATTTGGCAGTTTGGCCATAGAATCCAATTACCAGATTCTTTTGTCCATATTTATTTCAATGGTTGGAAAAGAATCGTGTCTAACACACTGCATTTGAATATTACTAAGATTTCAAATATCATGATATTCATGTAATATAAATTTTTTTTTATAGATGTCGTGTCGTTAAACTGGAGCACATTCAAGATTCTTTCTTCTCATTTGCACTTTGCAGCTGATTCTGTTTTCGAGTCTTTTGATCACTATCTTAGGGGCATGACTTGACAAAGTTTTTCATAAAAAATTTTAGTAAATTTTGATAAAAGTTAATGACGTGTTTGGTTAAAAAGTTGTGGATCCCATAAAATATGTAATTAAAATTGGAGTTTGACTGATTGAAACTTGATAAAAAAAATTTAAAAGAAAATAAATCAAAGCTCAAGTCACAATATTAAGGCACTATATCTTTCAGAGATAAATTAGCATCTTTTAATGATAGGTGGATTTACATTTTATACAATATTAAATTTAATTTAAACTGTCAAAAATTATTTATATTCTCCATAGAATTTTTTTGTTCCTTAATCATTCAAAGTAAAATGAACATGTAGGAAAGTGTAGCTGTAAACTTTAAACTTTTTCTTCTAAAGATGAGCATAACTAAGAATGTCAAGCCTCTAATAACGAGGCTCCGGATCATAGTCCACGTGGCACCCAACTAAACAAAATAAGGTCCGCAATCCACGTCACCCTCATGCGCTGAAGCGCTATCTCGAGAAACCTTTTACCTCCTTGGCAAAAGTGACGAAGTGGGATGTGTTGGGTGATATATGCCGAAGTGGTATGGGGATTACTCATTGTTGAAGAGGGCATATGGTCATCACCCCACCTCTTCCAACCAAAAGATCTTTCCACAATCTTTATATGATTGATTGACGTGATCTTTATGCAGTAGACGCCAAATGTCAAGGCATCAACCCACTTAACAGAAAACATCAAATGCAACATTAAATACCCGTCAACCTATGATTAACGGATTGATATCTAGGAGGGGACATGAGCTGCTCTCTATCAGATGGAGCCACGTGTATCCTCAATGTACGATCGGTATTTCTTCTCGAATGCTATATAAACTCGTAAGAAATGAGAATATACGCCAACAAATGGAAGTGACACCAATTGACAATACATGAAATGAAAGACGACTTGTGTTTTATGTATATTTGAAGAAGGGTAAACTCCACTACAGGTGCCTAACTTTTCGTGAGTATGAAACCCATGTCCCCAATATACAATTTGTTGCACTCATTATTTGGACCTTTTAAGTCCATGGCTTACACGTCCATAGCTAATGGAAAAAGTCTATTTAAACATTAAATAGCCACATGGTACCAAGGTGATGTTTGATTGAGTGTGTAAAATTGTGCAAAAAGATTTCATTTATTTCAAAACAATTACAACGTTGAGTTCAACTTTCATTTAAAAATTCGAATATGATAAAATTCTTCAGTGTTGATGAAATATATCCCCCTTGCTTATGCTCATCCTTGTGTCATTACCTGTTCAAAAACATGTTTTTTTAGCTAGGAACATGGGTGTCACATTCTTAAAAGGTTTGAGACATGGGTGCAACAAATGGTAAGTTGAGATGTGCACCATTAGAACAAGTTATAAAGAGGAAGAAGTAGACAAATACTACAATAACATGTTTCGCAGTTAACAAGGAAATAGTTACCTCAAATCTTCTAATGGTAGCAATGAAGTTATCGAATTGACAAAAAGAAAATTACATGGCAGACCTCAAATTTATTAAGAATACATTTCCTCTTGTAAAACTTGTGGCAGCCCTCAGAAGTGAAAATATCCTTGTCTTTATGACTAATTGTCCACACAATCAGTGCTTTGAACCAATTCTTTTTGCAACTTCACAAGAGATAATGAAAATGACATGGAAATGTAACAGTTAATTTATGGCCAAAGAGGTGGCCATGTTACCTTCGGGGCGGTACATCAACCTCTTCGTTTCTAGCTCACTATGGATGGATAAAATTAGCTCTAGCTCACAATTTCTATAAGAAAATAGATGTATGTGTACTTAAAAAGGTATTATTATATATGCATTGAGAATGGGGATGGGGATGGGGTTAATCTACACCTTGAGGACTAGATGCAATGGATATAATAAACCATATATCTAGACCTCAGGATGCAGATTACCTTATCCTTTCCAACCCAAAGAGGAGGCGGCGGAGGAGGAGGAGGAGGAGGAGGAGGAGGAGATGTCTATGCACAATTAGCTTCACGCAAATCAAAGAGCAAGAGGTTGATGAACCATATGTGCATGTAGGAGTGGTATTTATAATGCCTAAGCTAGTATATTAAGTTCCCTAGTACAAGTTAATATTTTGTAAATAAAGAGACTAATATCATATTATTATGATGAAGACAAGATAACTAAGGTTCTATCATTAGCAATCATATAAGATTCTGTTCTCTTTTAACCAATGACAAGGAAAAGAACCTTTCTCTCTCAGACAATGATGTCTCTTGCTTGACGACTTTTCCAACGGGGACCGGCTATCACAACCATAGCTAGTCTTCCTTCCTCGAAAAACTCTTCTAAACAAACAAAACACTTTCAGAAAATTATTCAAACATGTTCAAAAGTAGCTTTTGACTTTTCAAAAACGTGCCAAATGGACCCTTCTTCCATACGGGACGAAAGGCATAAAACAAACAAGGAATTAGTACTCCACAAGCTTATCATTGTATTGATTCTTATCAAGAATTTGACATCAGATTTAACTTGCTGATCTTACACATTGTTCATATTCTATTCCCTCTTGTAAGCTAGGTTATAAACTGTCTAGATATTCCATTGCTGAAATAGGTAATTGGTCAAAAAAAGAACCTATATTTTTGCAATTAGCAAAGAATAAATTAGTAGGATTGATGCTTGTGCAGAAAGAGGAAAAGATGGAATAGCCCACACATATTTGTTATTGCTAAGAGGATATATTGTATTAACACTCCCTTGTCGTTACGAATGAGGAAAAAGTTAATATGAGCAAGGAAAAATTCGTTTTTAGTGATGTCAATTGGACAATATTTCAGTATAAGAAAGCATTTTAGAAGTGATATTATGAAAAAACTAGAACATTGAGGGCGTGTTTGTTACTCTTGTCTAACATTGTTGACCCCAAAAAATGTTGCCAACAGATGCCAGGCCCACTCGTACACACGTAAGTTTGATCCAACACGTTAATGCCGATCAACGGTCAAGATGACTCCAGAAACTGAACGTGGGAGTAGCTCAAAAACACGAGACGATTCCGTTCGGGTTTCCAGCTAGATAAATGTAACACGATTGTATAAGAAACCAATCGATAAAAACACGACTTATAGTTGAAATTCGCTGTCCAATGAGAGAGAGGAGAATGCTATTGTTTCAAGTATTTGGAATTTTTCATTACCCTTCTTGTGTTACATGGTGAGACTATTTATAGTGTTACAAAGGAAATAATGACCTTTGGATCAATTTACACGTGGCCTCATCTCCTCGACCAAGACATCAAATTCTAACTATCAAGTTGACTCTCCTAACCTTACAAAGCATTAAATGCTCTTACAATGATAAGACAAGAGACAGACACACTTATTACAAATGTCTCATCAATCATTCCAAATAAGATCTTTATGTAGAAGATCTCTTGGGAGAAGTGAATATGGAAGATGTGGGCTTCGGCCACTTACACAGAGCCTCGTATTCTTCATTATCAAGTTGACTCTCCTAACCTTACAAAACATTAAATCCTCTTACATTGACAAGACAAGACACAAATATACTTTACACAAAAGTCACGTCAATCATTCCAAATAAGATCATTATGTAGAAGATCTCTTGGGAGAAGTGAATATGGAATATGCTCTTTTATGGTTAGGAGGCTGCTGTTTCGATGATGTGGGCTTTGGCCACTTACACAGAGCTTCAGCTTCTTCATGAG